TTATTTTTTATTATATAATTTATTATTTAATACAATAAAAAAAGACTAAAAGTACATACCAAAATAGTAATTTAAAATATAATCCAAACAGTAATTATTGAAATAAAAAATAATTAAAGCAATAATTTATATAAATTATTATTTAATTAATCCTTACTTTCCTTTTTTTTAAAATATATATTTCTTATATTTTCCAGCATCATAAAAGTAGCATTTAATGAATAAAGAAATAAAGAAAATGACTAAAATTATATGAAGTAAAAGATTTAAGAACAATAATAGCATAAAGAATAAAAGTTAAGGACTATAAATAAAATAAAGTTGAGGATGAAAATAGATTTAATAAAAAAAAAAAAAAGTATTAATCTATCAACAACTCAAGAGTTTGGGAGGCTTGTGCCCTTCCAGGACCTTGCCTCCGCCGTCGATGCACGGTATACAATTTGTTTGATTTTTTTTAATTATTAATGATATATTTTAACTATTTAAGATATCACAACAATCTTGAAAGTTGCTAAACATTCTAACAGCTTCTGTCTGGAAAAATCACTCAGACAGGGTTCCGGTGTACTCCATCGTACCTAAGCATAGAGATGTTTATTCAGCAAATGGCAGCAAGAGCAATGCTAGGGGCACTCGCTTTCTGCACTCTCCGGCCAACACTTTCTCTTTTATTGGGCCACGTTATTTTGGTCTTGAGAGGTTGCGCCTGAAAGCTTTAAAGAAGCTTACGTGGCCCAATGAAAGGGGAAGTGTTGGCCGGAGAGTGCAGAAAGGGAGTGCCCCTAGCATTCCTCATGGTAGCAATGAGAAAATGGGGGAGAAAAAATTGATGTTAGAGAATCATTACATCATTGACCACGTACACTAAACACTGCCCTGATTGATTTTACCAATCTTAGGCAGCAGTGAAAGACCTGTCTTTTCGGTCACAAATTACGCTGTCTTTTAAGTGCACTTGTGAAATTGACCCATTTCCTTGACATTGTTCAACGTTTTTTTTTTTTTTTTTTTTTAACAGAAATAATGGTAAATAGTTAAGTTAAGAATCATTAATACATAGGGGTTCGATCCTTAAAATAAATGATTTCTTACTCTTTTCATTGAAATGTACTGTCTATTGGGTCACATGGTGGAGTTCCATTGTTCACGCTTTTCTTTACTCGTTATGAATATTTTAGCATGAGGTTGAATATATTTGTATATAAAATTAAT